CAGATGTGGAGGGGTGTTTCTTTACCTGCTCGTGTCCTACTGACCAGAAGGTCAGGTGTGCTCTGAACCGGCCAGTTTTCTATTAGATCTGCTAAGAGGGTTATTGATGCTCACCGTTTACCTCAAGGTGGAATGCCTACTCGATGGAATAGATTCTTCCCCATCAAGATTAATGTTTTTATGTGGTGTGTGTTGTTAGATCGCCTTCCGTTCAGAACAAAGTTGGAAGAAAGAGGGTCAGACTTGGATTCGACTCTTTGTCCTATTTATCAAGGCAATTTAGAGACTATTTCTCATATTTTCTTCCAGTACTCTTTAGCAGTTTAAGTTTGGAATCGGGTGGCTAATTGGTTAGCATTAGATCGTCCGACTTTTTCCTCAGCGGTGAATATGGTAGAGTGGATTGACTCGAGACCGGTGGTGTGCATGGAAAGGGTAATCATTGATTTCATCTTTATGGTGGTCATTTGGGTGCTTTGGACTTACCGAAATGCGGTTTTATTTCGGAAGTCTAATTTTAAGAAACATTTTATTTTTGATTGTATCGTTGATAATTCATATCGTTGGTTTGTGTTTAGAAACTCTAAGGCCGGGATGCATTAGGTAGATTGGATGCAAAACTCAGTCATGCCTTAAGTTGTATTTTTAGCTAGCTTCTAGCTGGCTTTTCTTTTGGGTTTTTTATAATATTGTTGTTGTTCAAAAAAAATATGTTTTTTTACATATAAAATTAAGTAAAATACATATTTTATACATATAAAGTACATACAATACATATTTTATACTTATATTACGATATTTATATGTTAAACATTACATAAGTTTTTTTTATAGATATATGAATACCATTTGTGTATATAAATATGTTTGATGAAAGAAATGACAAAAAAAAAAAGTCTCAAGTTTTACACACTTGGTTGGAAAATTTGTGATTTTAACCAACCAAAAAAAATTTATGACTTTTTTCCAACTACGCGTGTAAAACTTGAGATTTTTATGGTACTTGCCCAAAGGGAAATCTCCGATAAAGTCTCAATATTTTTGGTCGGTTTGTTGTTTAATCCAGGCATTTATTTTTTGAACAGAAAAGTTCCGATTATCTAATTTTATACGATAGTATGTTATTTTCTATTGAAAAGAAATAATGACTATTTCGTTAATTTTGACAAAATATAAAATAATCAAAACTTTTTTATTCAAAAAATAAAAGTTTGGATTAAATCGTAAATTGACCTAAAATATTAAAATTTTATTGTAGAATTCCCTTGCCCAAATAACTAAATATGTGTATATAGTGACAAGGATGTTTAAAATACAAACTCCAAAATCAAATAAAAGTTTGATGTTATTTTGTGATTTAATCATTTTATTTTGTTTTTCCCAACAACAATCATTCAAGAATGACAATTTTTTTCTGTAAACTATTTTTACATGACCTGACATGATATAGCATGTTAAAATTGTCATAGTTTAATGGTTTTATTTCAGTATTTAGTGTGAAAAGTTTCAATAAAACTCTAAAATACAATATTTTTTTAATATTGTTATTTTAATCTGCTATAATATGTTAAATCAAAATGATCGATATATCTGAAAAAGTTAAAATCTAATGATTAAATCTTAAAAATGCTAAATTATAATGGTTTTTACATAATTTGACTTTTTAATATTCTGTTGTTTTTTTATTAAATATCCAAAAAAAAAACAATATTTGTTAGAAATTTGGTGGGAACAGAGACAGTGGAGAAAGACTATCTGCACCACCGTATGACCATTTCTATTTTCTCCCACGCGCAGTGGAACAACAATCAATATATTGAAAAATCTGAGAAGGTATTGACGGATTTATCCTGAATCAGTGGTCGAATCCTCTTAAACTCTCTCGTTAATTTAAGCAAGTCAACTATAATCGCTGATATTCTCGTTTGATCTTTCAAATCATCGCATTCGTGGTTCCAGTATGCTCCGGTGAATTCGTGCATAAAAGGTAATTTCTGCATCTTTTTTATGATTGTCATTCTCGTTAAGAAGTTGTTTCAGTTAGTGGTTGTGGATCTGAGCTTGATTTTGCTTTGAGGAGCTGTTGTTGATGAGTTTTAGTGATTTGCTTAATTTATCATATGATTCTAGAGTTAAACGATTGAAATCTAGCTTTGCTTTGAACCGATTAAGCCGAAAAAACTTTCTCGAGTGCTTCGCTTGTATTGATTAGTTAGAAACTTAAGACTGTTCTTCGCTTAGCAGCAGATGAAGATGAAAGAAAACTCAGCCTTATCTTTCGATTTGATTCAGGTCAATTGTACGGATTTGGTCATATGAAACTTTTGTTGCTTTTCTTAGACATAAAGAGGTACTTTCAATTGACAACGAAGTTGAAGCAGAGAGTAATCTAGCTTTTTCCAGCCTGTGACTTTGTAACTTCTTGTGACTTTAAGAAAAGTGGTAGTCCTTTTGTAGATGGTGAAACACCGACAATTCTAGGGCAAACGACAACTTGTACCACATGAGGTATAAATGATGTGTAATCAACTATTGTCCTTCAAGAATTAATGAACATTGCTGAATAATTGAGCTTGGTAGCTGCTACAAATATGACTTTTCACACATCATTTTTTCTGTGTTACAAGGTTGAGCATCACAAGAAAGTGTTTGTGAATCAAACAGACATGGGTTGTAGCTGCTTTGGTTCCAAACGTGTACAAAAGAAAGAGATAAACACTCGTCCAGAATTAGAAGGTATGCACATAATCTCAACTGTTCATTTACAAATCAATAACTTCACTCTTATCCAAAAAAAAACTCTAATTCTAACCTTTACATTATCACACAGGTTTTCCTCTAGATAACATAAGGAATTTTTCATATAGAGAATTAAGATTAGCAACCGATAACTTTGATCGAAGTGCAAAGATCGGGCGAGGTGGTTTTGGAATCGTTTACAAGGTACACACACTCACTCTCTCTCTCACACACACTTATACATACATACATATGAACTGAACATATATGCTTGATAAAAAATGTTAGGGAATCCTGAATAATGGAACACAAATAGCTGTAAAATCGCTTAGTGCTGAATCAAAGCAGGGAGTTCGTGAATTTTTAGCAGAAATAAATGCGATATCAAATGTGAGACATCGAAACCTAGTCGAGTTGATCGGGTGTTGTGTTGAAGGAACTCATCGTATTTTAGTGTATGAATTTTTGGAAAATAACAGCCTTGACTCTGCGCTTTTAGGTAATCAACAAAGTGAAAATGAGTTTTTTTTTTTTTTTTTTTTTTTTTTTTTTTTTTTTTTTTGTGTGTGTGTGTGTGTGTGTGTGTGATGTAACTTGATTACAATGTACAGGTAAAAAAATCCATATTGCAGAGCTGAACTGGAAACGAAGATCTGAGATCTGCATTGGAACAGCACGTGGTCTTGCATATCTTCATGAAGAACTTGAGCCACATATTGTGCATAGAGACATTAAAGCTAGTAATATACTTCTAGACAAACATTTCACACCAAAAATTGGAGATTTTGGATTGGCTAAACTTTTTCCAGATACCATTACTCATATAAGCACCAAAATAGCCGGAACTACGTGAGTTTCTATTACAATATTTCCTATTACAATTGGGGTTGATTTTCCAAATTACAATATATTTATACGATGAAAGTTGAAAGTACAATGATGTAATAAAATGAAATGAAAGTAAATAAATAAAATTATGTTGCTATAAAATTCGTTATTGTTGTTCCTTTTCAGTGGTTATTTGGCTCCTGAATACGTATTGGGTGGGCAGTTGACATTGAAAGCGGACGTTTATAGCTTTGGGGTTCTCGTTCTTGAGATAATTAGCGGTAGAGGCAGTTCAACGTCAGGTTGGGGTCCATCACAGAAACTTCTATTGGAATGGGTATGTGGTTTTCTCAATGAGGACAAATTTGTAATTCGTAAAAAATTAGGGCTTAATGGTTTATTTTGAGATTTTTTTTTTCTTGTTATGTAGGCGTGGGAGCTGTATGAAGAGGAGAAACTGTTGGAGCTTGTGGATCCAGAGCTAAAAACATATGATTCGGAGGAAGTGATAAAGTACATAAAAGTAGCTTTCTTTTGTACTCAAGCGACCGCCAGCCGTAGGCCAATCATGAGCCAGGTTGTCGACATGCTGTCAAGAAACATTCGACTAAACGAAAAACAATTGACGCCGCCAGGTTTTTTCCAAGATTCTAGCGGGAATAAAAAGGTATCTTCTGACGCTTCCACCAGCCGCCAGATAACTTCTTTTCCCACCACAATTACACAAGTAACCCCTCGATGAATTAAGAATAAGAAGAGAACATACATAGTTGATGATTTATTTATGAGCCGCCATATTCGTATGGCTGTCTTCGCTTAGCTGTCATTTGTAGCCGACGGCTAATGTTGATCTCAGTCGGTGACGGCGAACCTGCAACAGACAAACCTAACGGGGTCCAGGGACGGCTTTCTTTTCATCGTATATGTCGAGGGATGGCAGTTTTTTATTTTTTGTGGTCGAAAATTGAAATATTAAAGTAATTATGGGTTAATTTGTATATGATTAACACTTGATTAAACTAAAATATATTGGATTGATGAAAGAAATTTATAAGGGTGTTTGCAAATTACAAGTTGAAGTGGGAAAATACAGATCAAACTTATGTCAAGAAGATAGGTTCCGTTTAATGATTTAAAATCAAGTGAAATTGACACACTAGCACAATAAAGTTTTGGTTTTGTTCTGGATTGGTCACTCAAGTTATTTTTTGCGCAATTAGTCCCTCAACTTTCAAATTACCTGTCAATTACGTCATGTTGATCGATTTTAGTCGGTTGTCTGGTTACGAAGCTTACTTGGCAGTCCGACATGCAAGAGAAGTTAAGGCGTTATTGTAGCTATTCAACCACGTCACAACCTGGTCATCAACTACCTAATAAATGATACCCTCATATAGCATACTCCTGATTACATTATTTCCTTAATCCGACCATTCGAGCAAAGCTTTTCAAGTTAAGAGATCTCCCGATGGCTTCCTCATTCTCCTCCACCAGTCGAACAATGAGGCTACGAGCTCGGAGCGTTGGCGACGCGCACAACCTTCCCGATTGTGATTGTGACAAACCCTCATTGCAACGAACTTTTTGGTGCATTGGAAATTCTGGGAGGAGGTTGTAACATCCAAAATTCTGGTATGTCCTGAAACCCTAAGAAATGATAAGTTTGCATAATTGGTCCCTTAAGTACGCTGGGCGTACTTAAGTGTACGCTTAGCGTACCGCATAAAAATGGTCCCGGGGAATTCAGGGTACGCCGAGCGTACCTTGAGTTACGCGGGGCGTACGCGCCAGGGACGCAAACCCTAATTTTTCCGGACTTGAGGCCTATTTAAACAGTTTTAAGTCCCTTGGACTAAACCCTAGAGAGCCTCCACAGCCCTAGAACGTCCATATACTCCTGGAAACCT